TACATATATAGTATAAATTTCAGGATCCCATCAGAAAATTTCCGGTCCGCCTTCAAAAATAATTACCCATATATCAAAACATCATTTTTAAACTTTAATTTTTTGATAATTCATTATTAAAAATATTTAAATCGCAGAGCTAATCTAAAGATACCAAATGATGTATTTTTAAGTTTTCATATTTGGATACAAGATTATAATAATTTAAAAAACACGATATTTTCAGACTTTTTGTACCATATACTAACTCGAACTTTTCATCTCGTATAAAAGATGCGCAGTATGATATCGGGAAAATTCTAATTTGATTTTGGCTTATTCCTTTTCTCTGTGTCACGGGCAGTACTACACCATTACTTCACCTTGCAGCAGCTACGCATATAAGGCTTAGTGTCACGCGAAATGTATGAATATGTTAAATGAAAGTGCTTACAGTGTCATGCGAAATATATGTATCATAAATGGCATCAAAATCTCAAATATAATTATAAATTTATTTGTTCAATATAATAACAAAATAGATAAAACATAAAACTTTAGGCGGAGAGTTCCTTTTCAATCATGCTTATAGCAATGGGATGGTAAAATGATCTATTCTCAGCCAAAGTATTCTTTGCTAAGTTCGATCCATTCTTGGTCTTATTCAATAACCTAAATGATGTCAAAAATAATTTAGCAAAATTCAAGTAACCAACATAATGATAATATAATTTATTGGGTTTTGGATTTACCTGTATAAAGGCCTAATATATTTCGTTCTTCCTTGTTCAGTTAAAAATTTAACAACGCGAGGATACATGGGTTCATATTCTGCTGCTAAACAAACTTTTAACCATCTATAACTAATCTCCACATTTTTAACGGCGGTAAAATTGTAAACTTTATCAATTGCAACAATTGCCGAATGAGGAAAGGATGAAAACTCAGATAAATAGTCCAGGAATGCCACTTTTCATTAAATAAATAAACAAATAAATATATTAGTTAATTTTTTTTTCTGTTGTAAAATTGGTTATAATCTATTATTTACTTACTTTTTTGTAAAGCAGTAAATTTTTCAATGTCGGCTGGCGAGAATTCAGCAAAGTTTCCACTGTCTTTTGCCAATTTCCATCTATTTTATACAAACATTTTTAATAATTAAGTAAATAAATCAAATAGAAAAAAATTTCAAACCATTCGGACCTTTCAGCAAGTTCATTACATTCTTTTGAAAGAGTTTGGTCAAATTCATTTTTTAACGGTGGCTAAAAAACAACATCGTTAGTTTAAAGAATATATTTATTTATAATCACAAAAAATATTTAATTATTTACCATTCCAGTAGCATGTAACCAGCCATTCCAGTCGATTTTATCCAATGCATCTTTTTTTGCGGATCCATAATTTTTTTCCATGAATGAATATAAGAAATTTTTCCAATCATTTGTGACAATGGATTTACCAGCAAATTCTTCAATATGAGCTTTCATGTAAGGCTCGAAGAATTCAGGCCCACCAACTACTTGCTCAATATGATATAAAAAATTATATCCCTTTTCTATGATCGATGAAGAAATATTATTTAAATCATAATTTAAATCATAATTTACGATGTAAAGCTTAATAGCTTTTAAAGTGATCATTACCATAAGGGACAATAGAAAAGCTATCATCAGGATCCACCCCTTTCAAATCAGGTTGTAATTTAGTAAGAGGACTGTCTTTACCCAAGAATTCAACACCATCCACTAATTCCTTCCATCCAATAATTGCCTGAAAATCACTTTCTTTTTCGCCATACAAACGGCCAGTAATCTTTCTTTCCATAAACATGGTCCATCCTTCATTGAGCCAAAAATTTTCCTAAACAATAATTATAAATTAATTAATTTCCATCTTTCCACCCTTCTTTTTTTAAATAATTAATTGCACCATAACATTACCCAATTTGCTGCAGTGACAAGATTCCCGGTCCAACTATGAGCAACTTCATGTGCAACCACATCTATAAGAGATCTATCTCCAGCTATCAAAGCAGGAGTAACAAATGTCAAACAAGGATTTTCCATTCCACCACTTTTTGAATTAAAATAAATAAAATTGGTTATTAAGCATAAAGTTTTCTAAACTTAAATAATAACAACTTACAAAGGGAACGAAGGAGGAAGAACCAATATATCATATTTTTTCCATACGTAGGGAGTCAGAAGGTTTTCCCCAGTTTCAATAAATTTTTCAGTATCTGCAAATTCCCATGCAGCATCTTGTAAAACTTCCGGTTCGGTCCACACAGTTGATCTAGGACCAATTTCTTTTCCTACCAAATTTCCAACCGCCAAAGCAATCAAATAACAGGGGATTTTAACTTTTTGCTCAAATTTATAAATCTTGCTCTTGCCGCCATCAACCACTTCTTCCCCAACACTAATTGCACTCATCAAAGCTCTAAGAGAACCAGAAACTTGAATATTGGCATTATAGGTTAATTTGAAACATGGTGAATCTTGGCATGGTAAAAGAGATCGTGCATGAATCTAAAAAGAGGATCACGGAAAAATTTAATAACTTAAAATCATATTATATTTTGATGTATATTAATTTATTTCTTACCTCTTGACATTGCGTAAAGAGATAAGGGTGCTTCTTTCCAACCGTTTGACTGCAATGTATATTTTGATTATATTTAATAGAGAAAGTTTTACAGCATTACTTTTATTGAAAAAGTAGGTAGACACTTCACCTTGATTCTAACCATTGGACTGCAGTACCTTGTGCCGTGGTATTGTATATTATTTCCAATTCAACTTTGGTACCAGTTGTTAAAGGTTTGTTAAACTCAATGTGCAAGGGGTTCGACCCAAAAAGATCGATTTCATTATTAACGTGAAACTTTTTAGAGTTGTAATAAATAAATAAATAAATGACCATAATATTCCAAATAACATGAACTAAACTGCGTATATATTGCACCTTTAAATTTTTTCCGTCTTGTAAAACTGACTTAATATTGAGACCTTTCGTGTCAAGAACAACTTTATCAATATTATCAGCTGCGGTAACGAGACTTAATTTAGCGGTGCCATCAAGAATTTTTTTCTCAAAGTCAACCTTTAAGTTTAAGTCAATATGGTTAGTCTGTATTTCGTTAATATTAGATAATGTACTTGGATCATAATACATTTTGAATTTTAATATTTTAGCTGAAGTTTTTCGCTGACGATGTTTTATATATAAAGAAATATACAGTATATTGAAATATATTGATTTTATAATCAACTTAAATTAGGAAACAATGGTCAAATCCCACAGTATCTTGTTGCCTTCTTTTGGTTAAATGTAGATTACATCACCCAGAAGATCCATAAGGAATTTTTGCTTGAAGAATTTATTTATTTACTTACAAAGAGACCTGGGCTTAAGTAAATGTAAACGTTCTGGAAAGAAAGTCTAACTAGAGGCTTCGATTGTAACCAGCTAAAATCGATATGCTGTAAAAACACAATATAAAATATGGATTTAGATAGTAGAGTCTATTTTAAGCTTTATTCAGTTAGTCATAATAATGTAAACTTTTAAGTACATAGAAGAATGAGTGATGCAATAGGCCTTTTAACAAGGAGACGTAATCACAAAACAGAAATGTGGTGCTCTCGTATTCTTGATCCATTTAGGAAAATGCTATAAGAGAATCCAGGATTCTTTCTAAGAATGGATATATTGAAATAGACAGAAAGTTTTATGAAGACGGAAAAGAGTCTCATCCTGACCGAAATCTAATAATCGTATATATTGTAGTATATGTGACCTTTAGTATTCACCCCTGAAAATCATATGTCTCTTTCTCTATCGAAGTGGCCACTCGAAGAGATGTATTATTAGAGACAATATTTCAAATAGGAATTCTAAAAAAAATGATCTATTGACAAAAGGGAATTTGACATCTGGCAATATAGACGATATATACAGTATTACAAGAATCTGAAATGAAGCATCTTTAGCTAGGGCTTAGTCCTGAAGGACTGCTTTCATCTCAATCTCTTTCGCACTCAGAAAAGGGTAATTTGACACATCACATGATTATTATAGTCGTAATTCGACTGTGAAGCTTATGCGTAGGCTAAGTCTCTCATGAAAAAAATACTGCGCAAAAGAAATATAAGCCGACTCTTTCTCCTTGCCACCAACTTCTTATCAATCTTCGAATTACAAAAGCAATACAAGCGAAATATTCATTTTATCTGTTTATAAAACAAAATAATTTACTGCCATTCATAAATCATACACAAACTTTTGAAGTAAAAGTCTTTGCATATTTTTCTACTTCATGAACTCGGGCTTAGAGAAGTCGTGAATATAGAGATTGCAAAACATTTAAAGCATAGTATATGGAATTTGGAATTATAGTTGCTTGTTTTTTACCTCGCTTTGTACTAACAAAAACTCTTATACAGATCTTGAATTAGCAAATATGTCTAACTCGTCAGCCAAATCTTCACTCCGTTATTCTATGAATCTCTCCGCCTTTACTAGTGATTTTTAATATTTTTTATTACTTATTAAATCTCATTTTAAAAACCTCTTCCTTAGATATACAGTAACAATCACTTCCAGTATAATTACCTAACAATGGAATTGTTTAGAATTTAATCGGAAATGAAGACTCCGATTGTTTTATGGAGATATGGAAGTTAATTATGGAAATCGTAATTTTATTCGCATAATGGAATTAATAAGTGTAGTGCGATTGAAAAGGTAACATATCGTCAACAAGAATATCTTTCATTACACTTAAGATAATTTTTTTAGACAATAATGCCAGCTAATTCGGATTAAAATGGGATTTTTGCGCAAAAATAAAAAAATGTCTCTTGTATTTTATTAACCCATCTATTATTTTTGGATGTAATTCAATAAAAACGAGTTGATTTTATTAAAAGATATGGGGTTACGAGGAAAATTCTAAAAAGTAAATTGGAAACTTTAGCATTAAATAATATAATCTTTTTGAAAGATAAATTTAATATATTACTTTAATGTCTTGTTCGATCATATGATTTCAAACCAATTGGATTAGAAAAAAATACATTGATTCACAAACATATTCTTATGACAATAAGTAATATTGATATTAATAAAATATCAAATGATAATTCGTTATACATTGAAGTAATAGGACTTGGTTCAGAAAAAAATAATATATCAAAAAATAATTATGAAGTCCTTGTTATATCTTTATTTTTTTTTTCAATAAATTATAATATTACTTATTATATTTATAGAAAGAAAAGATTGGTATAAGAAACTTAAGCAATATAGTGAGTAAAAAAATATGCAATGAATTTATATCAAAATTTATTAATTATAAAACTTGTATTGCTTTTAAAAAACATTATAATATTGATATTTTTATAAATATTTAATTAAAATGCATTTTAAAGAATTTCCGAAATATCTAAAGATACATTAATAAAAATTATTTTGTAGACCATAATATTAAAAATATTAAAGCTGAATGTCAAAGTAAAGTTAGCAAAAATTACAAAGTTCAATAAAAATTTGATTATAAAAAAACAAATCTAATTTCATACTTTATATTTATTTTTATCAAAGTTTAAAAAAAATATTTTTTTAAAAAATAAAAAATAAAATATTAATGAAAATAAAATTTGTAATAATTATAATAAATTAATTTAATTCTATTTGAATATTTCAAGCTAGTAAATATTAAAAAATTAATTAAAAAAATAGAAAAGTTTATTTATACTTTATTTATTTTGTAAATAATAATAATAATTTTTTTTTTGTAAATAAACATTATTTCTTTTTTTTAAATATTAAAATAAGATCTTACTTATATATTTATTAATAAAGTAAAAGTTTAACTTGTTATATAATTAATATTAATATATAAATTATTACTATATATATTAATTTATCACCTATTAAATAGATACTGTATATTATTTAAAAAATCTTAAGTAAGAAAAATCTAAAGAACCAACTGTTATAAAAAATAAAAAAACATTTAAACAAAATTATTATTTATAAACAAATTTTATAATTAATTATTGTTATGATAGTAAAATTATTATATATAATTTTTGGACATATATATATGATTTAATCAAATGATAATATTGTATAAGCCATATATAATAGATAATATTATTATAAATAGTATAATAATTTTAATTAATAAGTATTGTTTCAGGTTTGTAAAAAATAAGAAGTATTTTATATTGTTGTAATGATAGTTTGATTTGTTGTTAAAGATATTGGAATTCACATAGGATACTAATTATATATTCTTCCAATCCAATAATTATTATGTTGTTTTGATATATCTGAGTAATATAAAATATAATTAAACTCTTAAATATTATAGATTTTTGAGTAGAAATAAACTAATTTCAGGTTTTGTAAATGTAAAAGTAGTAAAAATCAATAACTAGTTAGAAGATCATAATATTAATTTAATACTAGTTACTATTAGCAAAAACAAAAAAACTCTAGAAAAACAAAATGTTATTTCTTAAGTATTATATTATTATTATTATTATTATTATTTTTTTAAGTTGGCTAAGAGCATTAGATGTGAGACTTTATTTACTAATTGATAGTATTGTCATTACATCAAACATCTTTACAGACTAAACTATTGC